AATGAGATCCTCACATCCTGATGGGAATGGACACTAGTAAACATGGAACAATTCTTCATTGTGCCATCCTTCGTCTTGGCATTTTTTTTAAACAGTCCCCTTGGAAGCGCTCTGGTCCATAAACACCCTCGGGTTTGTTTAGTTCGAGCAAAGCCATGGCTTTTGTGCTTTCGTGTGTGTGGCTGGTCCACCCTCGCTCACGAAACGATGCTCTTCCCAGAGGGGCCAGCGGTTTGGTTCACACCATTGTGTGAGGCCTGGTCTGCTGCAGGAAGAAGCGAGATCCTTATCTGACCAAGGGAATTCATGGAGCAAATGAATGAGATCACGCTGTCCCCAGGAAGAATGCATGGCCTTTCCCAGCCAGAGCAGCTGCAGCGGGGAAGCTCTGTGCCCCGAGCTCTGCTGAGCGGCACACTTCCAGGTCTCTGCTCAAGGCTCCCCTGATGCCATGAAGAGGCTTCATGGACTCTTCGGTCTGCACTGCAGACCGAACAAGAGTGAAGCAAAAGCACCATTGACTGGGTTTGGTGGCACAGTGGATCAGTCACTTATCCTCCCCTTCTAAAACGACTCATTAAGGCTGGACCTCCTCTATTTTCATCTTCATTCCAGGGAGGTGCAGGGCCTCCAGTCTGGGTTTGAAAGCTTGTGTGCCAGTTTGGACCCCGCCCCTTCACCTACCCTTGCGTAAAAGCACTTGTGCGGTGCAGGCACTAAAGCGGTGTTTCTTTCACCCCCTAGTGGAATCCTGAGCATCGATAGATTCTAACGCTGGCCCAGCATCTGGCAACAGCCTTAGAAAGACCAAGAAAAGAAACAGCTACTAGAGCACCAGATGAGAGCAGGGAGAAATCCCACCATGCAGCAGAGCTCTGTGGAATCATGGGAAGCCATCTTGTTTTAACGAGCCCAACCTTGACTAATCTAGCAGAATGGAGTCTACCCTTACTAGCAGCAACTGCCCAGGGTTCTAGGTAGGGTTTCCCCTCAGCCCTATCTGGATATGTCACCATGCACCCCACCACTGAGCTACACAGCCCTTCTCCCCTTGGCTGGGGTCATTCAATCTGTGATCAGCACCCAGAGCCTGAGAGGCAGCATTTGTAGAGAGATGGACTTCCCAGCTGATCAGGTGAATGAGCTCCCACAGGAATTTGCTAAGACTATCGAAGATCCGTCGCCAGCTCTCATTCCCTTCTTCTTAAGTGATGATGAGTGTTGACCAGTCTTTTCATGATGGCATCCTGCCTGTGAAATGACCCCCTAAGCAATGGTTGCCAGGTGCTGAATCTGATGGCGGCCGTGTCGTGAGCGGAGCCAGCTGGAGCCGGGGGTCAGACTAGATGGCCCGGGAGACCCCTTCTGACTCGCTCTGTTTCTATGTTTCTGATGTGTTTCTGGCACCAGCACTGTTTTTGCCTGGCACCAGATCTCCTTAGACGTTCCAGTGGAATTCATGGTCTTTACAATAAAATAAGCTTAGTGTGTTTGTTAGGAATAGCTTGCAAAGAGAGAGAGAGAGAGAGAGAGTACACCAGCTCAAGATAAAGCTTCATGCATCTGATGAAATGGACTCTCATCCCGGGCTGCTTCCAGACAAGGGTGTTTCGTGCCCGCACGCTGCTGCCTTTGCAGAATTCAACACTGGGTGGAGAGCAGTGGGGCTGTCTTCTGCCCACAGTCCTCCTGTGCTTTTCCATCATGTCATGGAGAACCTTGGTTAGGTTAATGTTGGTACCAGTGGTCCACAGGGAGCAAGCATTTTACTCAACAGAAGACAACTTCCTAGATTCCTGATTATTACAGCAAGCCATTATTGCAGCAAGCAATAATTTAGTGAAAATAAGGTGGGGAGAGGGTGGATTCACATAAGGCATCTGAAAGACAGGCCTTTATCCTTCTGTGTGAACTAAGAGTGACCACACAGGACTGAGGAACTGAGGCAAACGGAGTGCCACAGGCTTTGTTCAGGGAAAGGTCTGCCGCATGCTGGCGAGGGTGAAACCCATGCTCAGCTCACTCGCGGTGTTTGTTTTTCTACCTCATGTCATCCTCACTTTCCACTTTGTAGGCCTTTTGCAAAAATAAACTCTGCGTAATTATACTCCAGCAGATGCAGGAGGGAAGTTCATTGTCTGTCTGTCTTCTCCCCTGATCCCTTCACACAAGTGGCTTCAAAGACCTGCCCCGTGCATTAGCTCACAGGGCTGTAGCCAGAGAAGGCAAAGATCATAAAGGCTGTCTCCTTTCAGTGGGAGTTCTTTTGACAGAGGATGTATCACATATCGCCTATATGCTATATACACAAGGCTTAAATTCCCATCTCTTTCCCCAACAACCCTAATAATCGTAATAATGCCTATCAGTCACTAAGAGTTTGGCCTTCCACAGCATTTTAAAATTTAAAATAATTTAAAATAACCAGGACAATTCCAAGCACACTGAGACCAAGGGGAGAAGATGTTTTTCCTGAAGCCACACAAATAGCCATAGTCTGTGCAGAACCTTATTTATTGCATTTGTATCCACTTGAGTCTTGAGCTAATTGAAATGCTGTTCAATCAGTGAGGTTTCTGATTGCCATCACAAATGGCTGAATGGACTCCAGAATGGATAGAAAGACTGCCTGGGACACGCCTGCCATCCAACCAGTGCTGGTGTTCAAAGGAAGGGAAGGTTCAGCACCAACCGAGGGCTCACACTGCAGCGGGAACCCACAGCCAGAGCCCCCTGGGTAGTTCTGCCCTTTCACGTCGGCAACCCGCTGTCCTCCTGGTCTCCCTCTGGCCCAGACAACGGCGGTGGTGGGGATGGGGAGCACCAGATGGCACTGCCCACTTGCGCACTGGCTTCCACCTGGCAGGCAAATGAGCAGGCAGCAGCTGTGATGGGCAGGGCCGGAGGAGCAACTGCAGCGGGTGACCATGGGGGTGAGAAGGTGGGCTTGCTGGGGGAGGCAGCCCAGGGAGAGGGCTTGCCTGGTCGGATGATTCAGTGGGTCTGGAAACTCACACATTTTGCCTCCTTCCCTTGAGCTGGGGGATGTCGCATGTACCTCGCAAGGGTCACAGCAGCAGCCAGCCTTCCTAGGGCTACCGTGGCAGGAGTGGCTCTTCTGCTCCCACCCGGCAGTGACTGTGAGCAGTCTTCAGCTCACCATGCACTTCACGCCCTGTTCTTCTTTGAAGAGCAAGAAAGCCAGTTTCTGCTATCCCAATTTTGACAGCCACAGAGAGTGGCTGTCAAAGAAAGCCTTGCCAGATGGTGTAAAAATGTTTTTACAAGTTATTTTTTCTGTGTGTATTTCTGGGTGCAGAATTTAAAAAGAAAAAAAAATACTGGGCAGCCCTGGAAGGCCTTCTAAGGTGCCAGTGTGGCCCTTTGAGAGGCGAGTTGCTGGCTGCCTGAAAGGGGACTGGGGATCTACATGGAGAAATAAAAAGAGCACACAACAGATGCAGTGAGTCAAAAAAAGCATAGCAATATGAAATAAACTCAGCTTTACTGATGAAGCTGTTAAAATAATATTTCCATCAGATAACAGTAACACAGAGTCCTAGAGCACATTAAGAAAGGGCAGACTGTTTAGCAGTAAAGTGTCGTTCTTCAAATGGTCACTTGTGAATTTACATCTACGGGCTATGGAGCCTCTTGTCAAGAAGACTGTATAGCTGAGAGAGTTTGGGTGGGAGCCCCTCTCCCACCTTCAGCACTGGTATATAGAAGTTCCCTCCATTCAAGAAAAACCGTGTTTTTTACCCTGTTCCAATTCTCTGGTAAACAGGTAAAAGCAAAATTGTTTTGAAACAGCCCTATCCTGGCATATAATAGAATAAACTTCACCCTCCAGTTTCGTGAGCTGTTAATGACTTGGTTAGCATAAACCTACTGGCTTATACTTAAGTGTGGTGGACTACCAGAACCATGTCCATGCACCTACCTGCACCATGGAAGCCCATCCTGCTTCTGGGCCACATTTGCACAGGGTTCTTTTTCTCCCTCTTCAGTGTAAAAATGTTTACCCAGCTTTCCATCACAAGTGTCTTTGAAGGTGTCTTACAGAAACCATGCCTGTTGGCTGATGATTCTTTGGGTTAGGCTGGTTAATATTCCAGGATGATTGGCTGCAGTGTCATTAACAGGAGTAAATATTAAGGACAGGGATGGGGAACTTGTGGCCCTCCAGATCTTGCTGGGCTGCAGCGTCTGTCTTTACTCATCATGGAGATTTCTGGCTAGGGCTGATGCAAGTTGCAGGCCAGCAGCAGGCCAGCGCATGCTCCTCACTCCCAGTTTAGGAAATGGTCTCTCTACACCTGGGGAAAGCTCGGTATTTTTGAATGCGAGAAACACCAGGGTGCAAATGGTTGCTTTGCCATTCATGTAAAGCCTGAATGTATAAACTGATAAGCAGTGCAGAGTGATCCCAGCTGTCAGTGTGGCATTGGCAAACACATGGGGATTGTGTCAATGGACTGATCCATCACCAGGTGCCAGTGGTGAGGTGCTGCAGTCCCATATTTGCTCAGGGGCTACAGCACCAAACATGCCTCCGCAGGACGGTCCCACTTGTTGAAGCTGCTTTACAATTTCAGGGTTAAACTGGACTACCAAGAATGAGCCACAATCTGGAGAGAGCCAGGAAAGAGATGGCTGTTGCATGCCAATTTATTCCAATTGTGTTCACCAGTGATAATAACTTCTTCTAGGAAATGGTCACCTGGAGGACATTTCAAAAGAAGTCTGCTCATAGCTAGACTTCCTAATCTCTCAACAAAACCAGAATGTCTTGAGTTTTATTCACTGGTCCCTGGACATGTACACTGTTCTATAAGCATTTGCAGGGGAACAATCTACTTTTGATTGCATAGTGACATTGTAGAAAAGACACCTTGGCAGAAAATCTCAGCCCCAGGCATTAGGTCACTGGAAGAACATCCACTGTGCCAATGGAGACCAACTCATGGAAAACAAGGGAGGAAACACTTGTCCTCAAGTCACAGCACAAGGATTTCATTTAATGGTTGAACAAACTGGTGGTTTTCATTCAGCTGTTGGTGTTTTCATAGAGACACAGGAGTGAAAGAGAGCTTACTCAAGGTCAGTACCTTGATGGGGTTCTGACACTGAGGCACAGAAATGCTGCATGGCTCAGCGAGTGTCACTGGGAGTGCCTCGAAGACACAGACGAGGAGGATCTTACACGGAGAGGCAGCTGTTCTGGGTACATGAGGCTGCACGCAAAGCAGAGGAGGTCTGAGTACATGTGGCTGAGGGTTATGCCGCAGCCGCTTGTCGAGACAACCAGGTGGTTCCTTTGGTGATCCAGCTCATTCCTGGGAGTGGGTGCTTTGCAACAGGAAGGGGCTGGAGGAAGGAAATGATTTTCCCCTGCCACTCACTCACCCACCCCACAGGATCCCTAACCCCACTCCAGTTTTGCACCAGACTAACAGCTGCAATATAACACATGGATCTCTTTTTGCGCTCTGTAGGCAAACATATTTTATACAAGCATATTTATGCAACACCTAATCATTGCTCATTTAAATGGGGAAGCAGGAAAGGGGTGTCTGTAATACAAATGGATCTTTTGGGCACAGGTATGGCACAGAGTCACATTGCAAAACAGGCAGCCCTTTGAAGCCTCATGTGTGGAAATGCCCAGAGTTTATATTGCTTTCTACCTGCTGACCAGGGCCAAGCTGAGCTCGCTTGAGACAATCGGGTTCTTTGGATGTACAAATAAATATTTGCCTCCTCTGCCACCAAAGGCATTCTGTAGCTCAGTGATCCTACCCACTCACTTTCTAAATGTATGTGCTATACAGGAAAAGCCCACTGAGGTCAGCTGTCTGCTCTCTTCAAAGGGGTGATCTCGGCTTCTGCTCTATGCACCTGGCGCCTGCCACGTGGCACCTCCAGGAGAGCCCTGGCTGCCAGCACCCGCCATCCCTTGCAGCAGCTTCCTAATATTTCTGCCCAGTTTTTGAAGCAGACTTGCAATGAGCAGGGCTTATGGCCTCCCTTTGTCTTCAGCCAGCCACGTGGTGGGATCCCAAGCGCACCCTTCTTAGCATCATGTGGCCCAGTCAGACTGAGCAACCTCCTCCTAGGGAGCAGCACTGAAAGTGCACAGGGTCTCCATGCGTAAGGCTGCCCCACACCTTCCCACCCCGGATGCCACAGACTCATGGTGTGTGAGCAAAAGGCATCAAGGAGGGATAGGGAAAGGAGCCGTGCTGGTGCCTTTGGAGGCCTTGTGCCCAGTGCTGGTGGTGGGGGGAAGAGGCATGCTTCCAGCAAGGAAGGTCTCCTGGCTCAGCCGATCAGCAAAACGGCCCTCGCATCAGGACCTGTCCCATCATGCAGACGGTTCCTGGAGGGGCTGATTGTTGTCTACAAAGAGGAAGGTGTGTCCATGATGTCCCTCCTCCTCCACGTTCTCTTCTTGCCATGTGCCGGCGTCCGCTTCCTCTTATGTGGCTGCTGCCTCCCTGGGCACCCGGTTCCTCTCACTGTGCTGCTTGGCCCGCCCCTTTTTGCCTCCGTCCAACATGTTCTTGCTCTTTGGGGACTTGCCTTTGTGCCGCAGCTGGCGGTCCCCGCACCACACACGCTCACAGTACTCCTCTACTCTCTGCAGGTTGGCATAGCCAATAAGGTGCATGATGTCTTTAAACCACATCCTCTGCCCGTGCAGCATTCGAGGATCGGGGCCCCGGCAAGGCAGGCGGGGCGGCTCCTCCTCTTGCTCTCGCTGGAAGACCTGCTCCAGCTGCTCGCCCTCAATCACCTCCAGCATGATCTTGGTGACGGTCTGAGCGAAGCCGTGCTCCTGAGCCTTGCAGTAATACATCCCGGCATCCTGGCGGAACAGCTTCCGGAACAGCAGTCCTTGTTCAGTCTTCATGATCCGGTCATCCGTTTTCACCTGGAAGAAGAATTCGGGGAAAGATAAATAAAACAGGAGGGCACCAGATTTCAAGGCACTGAAGGAAGTCAAGAAAATGGCTGCCAGTTTGTTAGAAACACTCCAAATATTTGCACAGATGTTGACCCTGCTGCATTATGTGCAAAAGTACAGCACCCTGAAAAAATGTCATGATTCATGTATTGCTGGCAGCTGTGGTGATGTGCTTGCAATGATGCAGTCAGAGCCTGGTAAAGGTTTACAAGGCGTGTGCATGTGCACGCGCGCATCCAGAGGGGGTAACAAGGGGGGGCATGGCTGGGCACCCATCAGGGCTTTCACGCTAGCAGGAGCCCACTGGCAACAGCCCCCTGCACCTGCTCCTCCACCTCCCCACAATCCCTTGCACCTGCTCCTCCACCTCCCCACTGTAGCTTGCCTCTCCCTCTGACCCACAGCGACGACAGTGGAGGTGGTGACGAGGAGGAGCAGGTGCCTTTGCCTACCACCTCACATGCTCCCTGCCTGTCCAGAAAGCAACTGATGGCCATGATGGCCACCCTTGGATGCATAGCCAGAAGTGTGGCTTCTGGATCAAGAGAGGTATTACTGTCACTCTATGACTCTGGTGTGCCCGCAGCTGGAGTACTGTGTCCAGTTCTGGGCTCCACATGACAGGAAGGATATAGCCAGGTTAGAGTCAGTGCACTGTAGGGCCACAAGGATGGTGGTCGAACTGCAGGGAAAGCCGTATGAGGCGAGACTGAGGGCACTGGGTCTTATCAGCCTGGGGAAGAGGAGACTCAGAGGGGATCTGTTGGTGACATACAGGTACGTGAGGGGTTGCCACATGGAGGTGGGTAGAGACCAGTTCTCCCCTGCAGAGGAAGGCAGGACACACTCCAACGGAGCCAAGCTCAGAGAGCCAAGGTTCCATTTAAATGCCAGGAAGCACTTCCTGACAGTTAGGACCCCGAGGGTGTGGAATGGGCTTCCACAGGAGGTGGTTGAAGCCCCAATGGTGAGAGTGTTCAAAGATAGGCTGGACATGCACGTGGTGGGCATGTCATGAGTGGAGCCGGGGGTCAGACTAGATGACCAGGAGACCCCTTCTGACCCACTCTGTCTCTATGTTTCTATGAATGGAGAGAGGATGAGGAGCAATAGCAGCCGGTGGCAGGATGGCAGATGTCCCTCTGAAGGGAGTGCCTTGCCCAAGGCCGCCTGGAAGGGTGGAACAGGCACTGCATGCATGTGTGTTTGTGTAGAATTGCCACTGATCTGGCATGCACTGTGATTCTTCCCAAGACTAGTAACAAAAAAGAGTTGTTTAATTCACATAATTTGCACAGACCATAGAATCCAGGGTTCCCAAATAGGGATTTCAAAAAACGAAAAGTACTCACGCATCTACATAATGAAGATACTGCAAAAGAATGAGCCAAGGGAAACAATGTCCACACAATGAGTGAAATCCAGAGAAGAAAAGCCCCTGGGATCACAACAGAACAGTTCCAATGAGGATTCAACTGATCTTTTCATTTATTTCTGTATTATGATCTATGAAAGAGCAAATCAGGCTCAAGGCTCTGCTAAACCACATGAAGCTGGCTTGATTGTTCCAGCCTACAGCTCCATTTCCTGCTGAGGTCTCAAAGTCCAGCTGCTCTCCCTGCCATTCTCTCCAGTTTGCATAGTACAGCATTTGTCAGACTCCCTAACACAACTGAATTTGCAGGATGAGATTTCGAGGCCTGCAATTTTCTGCCAAGCACCAACTGTTATTTCAAACTCTTCCCATCTGTGTACATCTGCTATTTGCATCCCTTTTTTGCAGTTAGGCCGGGACCTTTCCCAGGTGCTCCACTCCTACTTAGATGCTTCTGCAAGCCAGAGAGGGCCTTTTCAGAGAAGTAGCACGGCCTGAGCTGGCTGCTCTGCCCAGGAGGACCAGCCAAAACACTAGAAGGAGAAGCTGCCTGTGTCCCAAACATGCATACACACAAATGATGGCACGGCAGGCTCTGTCCGGACAGAGCCTTTCTTTCTCCGATAACATCTTTCACCTGCAAAAATCCATTTCAGTCAGGTCTGGGGACACAGGTCTCCCCTCCCAGCGGAAAGCTGCTGCACCCAATGTCAAAGCTGTGGAAAAGGTGACAGAAGTGCACAAGAATCCACGTAACATTTTTTTCCCCCTTTTTGATGACTGACTTGTATTTATTTGCCTTGCATACAGAACAAGGAACCCAGTGGGAACGACGCATTCCATTGCTCTGTGTGGTCCTTCAGCAAGCGAGGGGGCTCTGCGCTCTGTGTGACACCAGTGCTGTCCTTATTAGTAATTGACAGTCTCGGACGAGAACTTACCCAGCTGTGTTTACTGGCCAGTCCCACTTTCTGTGCCCCCTTTGCTCCAGAGAATTCCCCATAAACCATACACTATTATCACTTCTTTCTCAGTCCAGCTTCCTGGGAATTAGACTGGCCTGCTAAATATGGGAAGAGTGGGGTGAGACCTCACACAGCAGGAGCGTGGGCTTCTCTATTTTAAACTTAATTCAGGGGTCCCTTATGGAGCTCCACAGAGCAGGCAAGGCTAAGAAACCAAATGAAGAAGGGCAATAGAAGAGGAAATTAGGGGTCGGGAAGGACCATGTGAGTTAGGAGAGGCCAAAGGGATGTACAAGAGGAAGCCTTAAAGAATCTGTCAGGATCCTGACAGAAGGACTTGGTTGTGTCAGCTGAATGTGACACAGACTAACAGAGAAGCCTATGGTGCCTGGCAGGGCATCCCAGGGACCGCAGGTTGTGCTGGGTTCCCTCTGTGGCTCTAGACATCCCCACAGCTTCAGGAGTGGGAATCCAACAATGGGCTATTCCCATTTCCCTGGCCATACCTCTCACAGCTGTTGTGGCAAACACTGCAGGCTGCTCACCTGAAGCCTTCAAAGAGGTCAGGAAGGTGCTGTTTGTGTGGGCAGGCTGAGGACAGAAGAGACAACGATCTACAAGATCCTATGGCCTTTCCATCACCACCCTGGCCACGGTCAGTAACTTAGCTGGGTGGGCTCAGGGGCCCATTTAGCCAAAGGTAGTGTCCTTTCCAGGAGGAAAAGGAGATGAAATCACCTCCATTGCTCCTCCTGTCCCACTCTCTAACTTCTCTCTGGTTGCCCACAATACAGTTCTCCGTGGACGTCTCCACTTTGGTACAAAAGGAAGGGTGGGCTTTCCTTCTACATTTCAAGGGCTCTTCACAGATAAATCAACAAAGAGTCACTCTTTGACCTCCTGTTGCTCAAACATAAAGGACATAAAGACAATTAGTGCTCTAAACTAGAAAATGAAATATGAGTTCTTAGGAAAACAGGGTTAGGCCAAGACAGCAAGGCCAAACCATGCTGGCTGGAAATGATGGAAGGTACTAGTCGGACAAAGACGGACCTTCTCTACAAACTGTATGCAGAATGGTGGTTGAGGAGAAAGAATTCTGGAGTGTCGGCAACTGCTGAATCCACAGTTAATGTGCAACTAAGAACAGGAGGAAAAAAGGAGGGTACTGAGAGAAGTAACAGACCATTTGATTGTAACTAGAGGCAGCGTCCATTGATAAAAAGGAAACAAGAGAATCGAGGCAGCAGGAACAGAAACAGACTCACCTCGTCTCTTAGCTCCTCTGGGGACCGGTGTACGAACCACTGCACTGTGGCCTGGGGCGACTTGGGGATGCACTCCAGGAATGTGCTGTTGTGCTCAGTCCCATACACCACTTTCTCCTCTGTGCTGTCGAAGTCATCCACTAGGGGAAGACGAGAGAGCTTGAACCAGAGGCCGGGAGCTTTACAGAATCCACCTGCTTCTCTGCCGGGGGTCTGCCTGATCCAGTATTGTAACTGGATGGGTGCTGACTGGCTCTTCAGCACAGAGAGGCAGTCTGCCCAATGAGCAAGATGGAGCTCAGATTCTAAAGCGCTCGCAGCCCAGGTCACCCAGGAGCCAGCTGCATGGAGGTCCCCTCTCCTTTCCATATTACAGCTAAGAGCACAGTGTTTCTTCCTCATATTTCTCAGGCCACAGAACAGCCCAAGCTCAGTCTGTGGACCTGAGAACTGCAGGGGCATCATCATCAGCAGCAGCATCTCAGTGTACACAGAAGTGCCCCTGTGGCACATCTTTCACAACACCACAGAAGCCTCAGCTGACCCAGCTGTTGCCGTATTCACACACTGCCTACATTTTCAAGGGCAGTGGAGGTGGCATGTCACAGCTGCCCCATCCCCCCCCCCCACTGGCCTAGGCGTGCATCGCCTGCTTCTCTCACCTGTCAAGTTTTGGTCCAGGCAATGGTGCATGGGGTTCCCATTTCGGATGTCCTGCCGGCGGAAGCGGCGCTTGCCTGATGCCTGGTATCTGGTGCAGGTGTGGCCGTCCCAGGCACAGTAAGGGTCCCGTGCCAAGCAGCACTCCGCACAGGCTGTCCCGTAGGTCTCACACTGGTGCAGCTTCACTTGCGCAACTCCCACCCGGGAGCCCACATAAAGCATTTGCTGTCCAAACAAAGGAGAGCACAATGCTGACTTTCTGTAACCACCCCAAGTGGCTTACAAGAATTCGGATGACGACAACACACAGGTCCATGCATAATAGTGATAAAAGGGTGGTACGGATGCAAGGAACCCCAAGACTGGAATGCTTCAATGCACTCTGTGTGGGACTGCCCTGAAAGCTGGCATGGGTGCTAGAATTAATGCCCAATGCAGCCGCTTGGCTGTTGTTGGAATGGCTCCCTTTCTGCATGCAGCACGTTTACTTGGGCAGCACCACTGGCTGCTTATTTGCTAATAGGCCAGGTTTAAGGCATAGTGACTTAGATCCCTAAACAACTTGGCAACAAGGGTTAGGGGTAGGGTATTTGAAAAAGCGCCTTATCCCTTACCAGCTTACCTGTTCAGGGAAGCAAAAAAAGGGGGCATTCCTTACATGGAATGGCAGTCGGTTCAGAGTCTCCTTGGAGTGGAGCCAGCAGTGTGTCGGCTTCCTCTCCATGGAGCTCCCTGTTTGTTCATGTCAGGTAGGCACCAGTGCTGTTTTGGTGCCTGCTAAAGACATTTTTCTTTAAACAAAACCACCACAACTAACCTGCTATGGCTTTATTAATGTAATTTAGTTTTAAAGATTTTGACTCTGTATACTGATTATTTTTCCCTTTCTTTTCTTTGTTCATCACTTGAAAATCTTATGCATGTACAGTGGTATATAAATCAAATATATAAATGTGTAATAAAACATTGAAACCAACCTTTCAGCTTTAAGAACCATAGCAGTTCACAGTTAAAAAGATGCATCTTAACCCCCTCCCTAAATGCAGAGAGATTGGGGATCTGCTTTAACTCCAAAAAGACTGTGTTCTAGAGTTTGGCAGCAATACGGGGAAAAGCTCATTCCCATGTGCCCGACAAACAAGCTGATCTTAGTACTCAAGCAAGTTGATCCTGAACAACAGACAGGAGTCCTCATATTTTGGCTGGAATGAGCCAAAATATGTCCTCATTCCAGCCAATATTTTCTATTGCATCCCCATGGCCGTGAGGAAGCAAGCCAGTGCACTGAAGGTTGCAATGGTTTCTTCAGGAGAAACACTTCCTGATCCCTGGTAGAAACCTGGGCTCCACTCCTATTGGGTGTTAGTCAGTTACCATTCTGCCTAAATTGCACTTGCTGCAAACTCACTACAGGACCAGTAGATAAGTTTACATTTACATTTAACTTTGGGAGTTGTCCTTCGGCCAAAGGCTGATTCATAAATTTCCAAATAAACAAAAATAAATTAGGTTTGTGGAAACTTAATCTAGAACAATAAGATACTGAGAGCTGTAGACAAGGAGTCCAGGTGAGGCAAAGTTATAAAAGGAATGCTGCAGGCTGTAACAGAGATACAGTGAGGGAGCTGTAGAGGAGCAAAAACGTTTTTAAGAAAACCTCGCGAGGGCTAAAGATGTCTCCTGCATGCTCAGGCGGAAATGCAGCATTATGGAAACTGGTAAAGGTGGGAAGGTGCCAACTGGTTCTGCTAGTTATCCTGGGGTCTAAGGGTGCAATCAAGTTAAAATCAGGGTCTTATTTATGAGTCGAAACAAACACTCCATCTGCCTTGAAATTCTGGGCAAGGCTTTCTTTCAAGAACAGTGCTGTGCGCTACAGCCGCCCTGTATGACAGCCTGTGGCACGCAGAGATTTTCTGCAGCCTCCCCGTTGGTTTCTCCACCACCAAGCTAGTCCCATAAAGAAGCCATTCAGTACTCACTCGTTTGACAGAGATTTCCATCTCCGTAATGGGGACTGATGCCTGAAGAAAAAGAAACAGCGTTTCAGCTAAAGACAATCACAGAAATGGCCCCTACTGCTCTCCCCCGTTTCTGCCCTGCGTTGCTTACAGCCATATAGGGCCACTCAGCTCCCAGCCAGCTTCACACAGGGACAAGATGTGCACGCGGAGACAGAAAACACGTGCGTGCACACAAGCAAGACTGGGCAAAGGACTTTCTCATGCATAGAGCAAGAGTGATGCTGGAAAGTCACACTCTTTGAGGAAACCCAGCCAATACTTTTCCCGAGGCTACTACTAAATGGTTACCACTAGCCACAGTTCATTCTCCACAGAACTATTGCCCACCCCTTATTCCTGGCAGGAATCTGTGCAACAAATGGACAGACTAATGACCCGAAAGATGGGTACAAATGCCTTCAATGCAACTCTATAGAATGGGAATATTAGGTTCCTTTTTGTAAGGACAAATTAGAGATCATAAAAGTGCACTGCACATTACACAAGCTCGAGACGGTGGTTGAGCATGGCTGTAAGCCTGCGCAATTGCCCCTGCTATAATGGGAGCTCTACATAGCTGCATTGCAGATAGAGTGGCCCAGAAAGGGCTAAGCACTGTGGTCATTGGAGGACCTTCTCCTTGTGGTTCCACATGGCCCAGTGGCCCTGTTGGCGTTCACCAAGAGCAGGGCCTTGTGTGTGCTGGGCCCATTTCTATGGAATTTCCTGCCAAGCAAACACTGTGTGCCGTTTCCAGTGCCTGCTAAAGAGACCCTGATTCCAGGCCACTTTTCTTGCTGACCAGCCACTGTCTTAATGTCACCCTGTTTTTAATGCATTGTTTTTGTACTTTTGCTTGTTTTAACTCTGTATTCTTCACCACTCAGAAATCTGCTTGGCTATGGAGCAGTACAAGAATATTGCAAATGAATAAATAAGGAAATAAAACTCCTGTTCACCATGGTGTTCAACTCGACTCCATGATGGGAAAGATTCGTGCCTTTACCAAACTATAGAGGTTAAGTATACATGGCATGGGAGGTCCCTCTGCCTACTAAGGCTGAGCTTGCGTGGGCTCACTGTGCAGTTGTTTTCTGGTTTCCAGTAAGAGACACACCCTCAGCACAGATGCAGGAAGGGAAGAGGCAGCATCCACCTTGTGCCTGCAGGCTGGTTATTATCATCCCCTTGTTTAACGCTTTGAGAACCTAACCAGTGGCTGCCAAAGCTAAAAGCACATCTCAGGATGGCATGAGATAAACAGATAACCTGTGTGATAGCACATATGTAACAAATGGCCTTCTTCTCTGTCGTGAACATAAAGTAGGAGAAGTAATATCCATGCATGAAGATGCATCCATGCTGCCACTGTGTGCGAGGAGAATACATGGAAGCTGCATGTGGGCAAAGACAAAGGGAGGCCTGGGCCAATTACATGTCCCTGTACAAAACAGGCACAACGTGGTCATTTCTTTGGTGTTCTGTAGATACAAAATGCACTGCTGCCTTTTAAAATTCACCTTAAACACTTGAAGTTCTTCCAAAATGACTTCTTCAGCCGCTGCAGAGTTCCCTCTCTGAAGAGCTATGACCTTCAGTATGGAGCCAGCATCTAGAAGCACGATGGAGAGGAAGAGTACACTGAGACAGGGCAGCCACTGGGCTAAGCTGGCATCCTGGCAAAGACAGAGGCCTACCTCTTTTTAACTGGCTCTACCATGAACAGAAACTTACCGGGTTTGTTATTTGGGGTCATGCTAGACCATGGAAAAGCAATGCAAGGATACAAAGAGCCACTCTTGGAAGTCAAGGTTGGGAATTTGACTCCTGATTTATGCTACCAATTACTTGTGTGATCATGGACATCCTCCTTTTCACTCCTTCTGCTCCACAATAATTTTAATTTATATGCTTTTAAAAAAAACAAAACAAAACCCTATGCCAATGCATGGAAATTGGTTTCTGAGCAGATAGAGAATTGCTTGGCAAACTTCTTAGCACATACACATATGAGAGGGTTCTTTCCAAAGTTTCTGCCACCCGGTCTAACCTTTGCCTTTCAATCCATTCTTATTTCTCTTACCTAGTCATGTAAATATTTTGCCTCACCTTAGAATGGTGTGCACAGCAACATAAGAGATTAAAAAGACAACATTTCTAAGCTGAACTAGGACAGGGCAGCTATAGGAGAAATGCTAAGGAGACAACTCAAAAGGACAGTCTCAGATTGAGTGGCCTAAAAAGGGAAATTGTGGTTGGAAGGATACAGGTAAACAAGAAAGAACTAAAGACTGGCAGCAGCTAGAAAGATTCAAGAGCAGTTCTGCCATAAAACAAAAGGTCTGACTGAACCCCAAATAGGAACCCAAGTAGGAAAGATTTAATTTAATCCAGCGATCACCAGTAGTCAGCCCAGAACCTGTTTTCCACACCAAGGACAAGTGAAATTCCAAGGCATCGCTTCTCTACACACACAGTCTTCCTTTCCACAATTGCAAGCAACCCCACAGAGATGAAATTTGAGAGAAGGTTAGTCCAGGCCCAACAACTCAGATGTAACTCCCCAAGCAGCGCTTAGCCCAGACTCTCCTCATGAGCAGCATTTCCCATCACACCTGTGCCGATGAACATGACATCGTACTGCCCGTCCTCAGCTTCCACGCGGTCCACCACTATCTGCCTCAGGCGATGCTGAAGGTTGGTCTTCACCAGCACAGGCCGGCGATGGACTGGGTGCACAGCCTTGCTCATCAGTGGGTGGGCACGTGCGAAGTGGAGCACCTCGTCCGGATAGTCCTTGGTGGAGGAGTACTGACGGCTCGGCTGGTTGGTGGTTTTGCTGGGGCACTGGCAGGGAGGGGGAAGGGCATCGTTACAGCAGAAGCGGCAGCTTTTTCATGGTGTTTCTCTGTTTGAGACCAGGATCCTTTGGCACCATGAAAAATCCGGTACAAAACCTGCTTTTCAAAACTGATTCTGTCTAGAGCATTTTATTTGGTGGTTCAGGCTAACAGTCCAGCCAGTGCAGTACCAGCCAGTAATCCCCTGAGAAGGTCATTTATAAATTAGGCAAATAGCACAAGTTTCAGTGGAGGTTGGCACTCTACAGTTAACTTTTGCCTGACATTCTAAAAATAAATTTAAGTCACACTGGATACCTCAATAACAATGGTTCTAAATGGATACAATTGGAATGCTAGTCTTGGAACCTTTATAAACGCTTCAAGGTCGTAATGAAAACATCGATGTCCTGTAGTGAGGTCATCTGCAGCATCTTCTCCATCTAGCAGCAAGAGGCGTTTTCTTCCTCAACACGGATATGAGTGACTTACCACTCCTGGCCTTGGGTAAGGCACCTTGCCTTCATAAGCTGCCCACTGGTGATCAGGGCCATCTTTGTGAGCATACGGTCCATTAAAAACCTCCCAGATGTCTGCCATACGATATACACAGACGGCAAAGCCTTGGAAGACATTGCTGCAGTGGGAAAGATTTAGCCACAGTAAGAACCTGTTTGGGGAAACTTTGCCCACATGTTATTCTTCTGTTTACTGGAGAGGATATTCAGGTCAAGGGTATATCAGGAGAAGTAAATTATAAGAGTTGCATTCCTGGCTTTAAACTTAATTCCTCAGTCGTTGAGGATGAATTTACCCAATCCAAAAGCCCAAATCACAGCATACATCTCTGTTCTTCATATGAAGACTATGGATGCTGAAAAATCCTTGACTAATGAAACAGATTCCAACAAGACTGGAACATTTCACATGTTTTGCCAGTGCCCAAGACTGTATACCAGGCTTCAAGGGGTTCAAGGCAGTTCGGACAGTTTGCCAGGACTTCTTGGGTACCTTTTCATTTTTATCCTACATATCCCATCTACCAAATTATTCTTACAAAGGCATGTCCTGAAAATCACAGGAAGTGTCTACTGACATGCCAAGATCCAATTTGGACTGAGAACTGAAAAATTAAATTTAGCTGCGATTATCTCCATGGGTTCGCAACTTCAGTTCTAATTCATGTGTTTTATTCAATGGGATGTACCCATATACTGGGTACATCCCATTGAAGTCAATAGAAATCACTCTCTTTCTCCTATGTATTTCAATCTCTTAAGCTGTAATAACACACCAACTGACATCTTTTATGGACCTAAATAATTAATGCCAGTGGTGAATTAATTATCAGCCACTGTGCAGTGGCTAGAGTACTGGATTGGGACACAGGAGTCCAGGATCCCTCATCAGCCACATCAGCCACAGAGCTCACTGGGTGAGCTTCAGTCACTGCCTCTCAGCCTAGCCCACCTCACACGGTTCTGTGAGGAAAAAATGGAGAGGGGAAGAAGGATTATAAACCTCGTGCATAAGCCACCTTGGGGTCTCTGCAAGAAACAAGGCAGAACATAAATTTAATAATTAAAGAAAGAATAAAACAATGCTTGCTGCCATGAATCGGCTAGATGTCTGCTTACTAGCCAGGTGTACCCATAACCCAAGTCACCTAATCAGTAGAAGCCAGCCATTCAAGGAGAAAAACAATAGAACTAAAGGTAGCCATCCATTTTCCCTTGCCTAAACTGCTGATAGACAGTACTGCCTATTTTCTAATCCAAATTACACATACCCCTGGATAGATTGAGGAATTATGCATACAGCATTCACATGTGGCACCCTACCCACCTAAGGATACTTGTATAGAAGTTGGTTTCCTTACATATACAACCCTTGTTGGATCAGGGTACCTTTGTCTAACTGCCCCGCTTGAGTGTATCGCACAGTCCTAAGCACCAGGTGCTATGGGTATTTTAACAGTGCAAAATGGCTTAGTTTACAATTCCAGGGAAAGCAAGATGCTTACTTATGTCGGCAGGCAGAGAAGAAACCAATAGCAAAAAGTTGTCTGCAAAACCATAAAACAGATGCTAAGACCAAGTATGTTCAGAGCATTCCCTTCCCCAGCAGGGGATTAAAATAAAGGATATTTTAATCCCCTGCTGGGGATTTTATTTTAAAATAAGGATATTTTCAGAAATGACTATCTGTCACTTCCCCCTTTGCATATTTCAACACATAAAAGGAGGAACTGTGAGACAGCACAATTGCTGAAAGTTTCCTGAAAAATAGTTGGAGTTTGTTTCAGGCCTTCCTGCTGCACAAAATACTCCCCTATCGAAAGCTGCCACAGGGCAAAGGCTACACACACACACTGACCTCTGCTACCCAGAAATGTTTGGTTGCAGAAAGCAAGGTGTGACAAAACTCTAGGCTGTGTTTACATTCATTTAAAAATGTAAGTAAAAGTAAACTGTTAATCCCATTAATTATGATGGTAACTTAGGGACATAAGAAACATATCTGAACTAGGTTTAATTTTCAGTAAGGTCTGAAGTTTGAGGAGAGCAAACAGACCACCACTTGCTTCCCTTTAGCCCATCAAGAACCTTTATAATGAATTGACTTCTATCAAACTTGGGACTCTTTTTATTATTGGCTAGAGAAACGGGACTTCGTATAGATTTAAATATGTTTTTAAGTTATCATAAATGGAAAAAAAATGTGGGGGCAGACCCAGCAGGCCCAATGTTTTTGATGACTGATGTTGTTTTTAGTTTTTCTTTGTTTTTAGGATTATAATTTCAAATAAAACTTATTAGAAAAAAAAGAACCTTTATAATGAATTGAAGGCCTGGGGAAACATGTTCTCGTTCTCTCTCTCTCTCTCTCTCCCTCTCTCTCTCTCTCTCTCTCTCTCTCTCTCTCTCTCTCTCTCTCTCTCTCTCACACA